TCAGACAAAACAAAACAAGCGTGCTCCTTTTTACGATCAGATCGAGGACTGGCGATCTTAGCATGACCCTGGATATGACCTATCGCAGCTGATGGACTGCGGGCCCATGGCCCAAAAGTTAGAAAATTTGACTTAACTGCACATCAATCAACTGGCTACACCCAAGTCTTAGGTTCAGAATATAGCTGCTTGGGTTATCCTGAGGGCAAAAGTAAAAACATTTGTAAAGGATTTGGGATCAATTTCTCATAAACTGGTCGCACAGACATCAGATCTCGAAACCCCTATCTTCCAGACTGCTTCCCTGAGGTTGAATTTTGAAGTGCGCCTTCAAGCAGCTCCGAATGTATTCGCCGAGGAGTTCTTACGAGAGCTAAGGAAAGGTGCGGTATTAGTTGCTCTCATTTTGGAGTAATAGGAGGCCGTCGGTTCAAGAAGCAATCTTATCCGCCCATCGCCCGGCTGGTAAATTGTCTTGACGCTTCCAGGTCGTGCTCACTACTCTGCCTTCTGTGCAGATCATCCGGACTGCTGGTGATTTGGAGGGTATAAACAACCACGAGTCCCTGACCTTCATTTTGGCACAGAGAAACCCACTCCCTCCCCCCTCCGCGGTCTGCGCACAGCAGAGCAAGTCCCGAAAAACCATATCCTGCTTTGTCTACCCGGTTTTTTCAAGTACCAGCGTGATCGTTGTTTTGAGTCTAAATGCACTCTCTACGGGCCAGATATTCAGGTAAGTTATTTGGCTACGATCAGCGGTACTATGCTCACAATCATGCGTTTGCAGCTGAGTATAAAACTAGACGGTGGGCGTACATTCAGGCTGATTAGATCAGCGGCCTTGCGAAAAGCGCCAACATGCGGTCTGGCTAAAAGCAAACGAGTGAGAATGGACCAGAGAATACTACAGAATAACAATTATTCGGATAGAGTCTGGTTATTAAAAAGTAGTTAGTAGCAAAGTAAATTAAATTAAATTGACTCCGGAATGTCACAATATGTACAAGCTGGGGGACAGCAAAATATATCTGTATACACGACGGGCAGTGCACAGTTAAGTAGACGGAGTAGTAGAGTTTGAGGTGGGATCAGAAGGCTCCTCAAGCGCGGCCTTGAAGGCGGCCTTCATTTCCAGCCGCCGCTTGGCTCGAGAAAATTTTTTATTTTCTTTCAGGCGTTGGACGCGACGTGCCTTCGCCAGCTGGCTTTCCTCACCGTTCAACAACTCGTCTACCCGCAGTCGTAGGCGCTCGCGAGCCAACTTACGGTTCTGGTGCAATTGCCGAGACTCCTTCATGATGAGAGAGAGACAGCGAACAAAATGGTGAATAATGACCATTACAATGAAATTACAAGTGGAAGGCAAAGCCCCATTAGAAGTACGGTTGAGTTAATTATAAAGAATGGCTAAAATCGAACAACGAGGCGTCTGGAAAAGAGGTTAAGTGAACACATGCCGGCCTGGTTAAGCAAAGGGGAAACTAGATTTACCTCCAGTTCTATTCTAACACACCTTGTTAATACGAATCACCGAGTCCATCCTAACGATGCCTTTCGGGTTGTCTACCAGA